GCCGGCCAGGGAGCAACCCACGTGGCGCAGCAGACCTCTCCTGTCGCACCCGCTGCTCCCCTCAGCAGTGTATTTCGTCAGTCTGCCTGTTCTGCTCCCCGCTCTTGTCTCTGGTGAATCCTCTCACCCTCCCGTGCCTCTGGCCTGTACCCCAGCTCTTGTGTAAAAATAAATAAATCTTTAAAAAATAATAAAAAAATAAAAATAAATAAAAACCAAGGCAAATGACACAGGTCTGTCTTCAAACAAACCAGCCATGGCTCCATGAGATGAGCCAAGGGCAGCAGGGTATGTGTGGCACACACGTGTCCTCCTATGCACAAAACACCCATCGACACAGACTGCTCACCACAGTCGTCCCTGAATGGCCAGAACTTGGGGACAAGGAGGAAACTGATCAACTTCTCACTGTGTACTTTGAGTCCTCTGAATTTATTTTAGCAAGTACATGTATTAAGTATCCGAAAAGATAAAGAAAACAATACGGGTGAGCTAAGAATAGCAGTATGGTTGCTGAGGGAGGCGCCTGGCATTTTCAGGAAACCCAGCACAGGCTCTTCTCGGAGCTCCAAACTTGACAAAAATCAAAGTAATATCTTAGGTCAATTTTCTCAGGTTTCTCCAAGGACTCAGGGTTTGGATGGACTCTGAACATACATGCTGGGCAGTAGGCCAGGCAGTTACACCCACCAGCACCCCCCGCACCCCACAGCCCAGCAGGTGATCAGTGAGCATCCATCATGGAATCTGGGGTCCCTTGCAAACTGCCCAAACCAAGAACACCACACCCACATATGCCAAAGATCCCAAAATAGAGAGAGGTGCCCATGGGCAGCAAGCCCAGCAGCCAGGCCTTCGGCCACTATCCTAAGCTCATGTCAGCTACTGACTGCCCACAGCTCTGAGCCAAGCACCTCTACTACCCTCACTCAACAGGTGAGAAAACCGAGGCCCAGAAGGGTTCAGGTCAGTGCCCAGGGGCTCAAGGGTATCAGCCGTGCAGGCAGGCCTGCAGCCTAAGCAGCATCAACAGCCAGCAGAGTCTAGATGGCTGCCTGCTCACACATGAAGCCCAGTCGCTCCCTCAGAGGCCGCTGGGAAGTGTTTATTTGCAAGGCTGAGTTATGGAGAGTCCCGGGGCTCTGCTGCAAAGGAAACCTAAGTCAGTCTCCTCCTTCCCACCCCCATACCCCCAAATGGTGCTAAATCCCGACATTAAGACAAACAAACAAACAAACAAAATCTACTCACAGACCAGCATCACTTAATCTACGAAATATCCTCCTTCCTCCCTCCTAAGAATCTCCCAAAAGAATTCCAACCCAGAATGCCAAAGTCATCCCCCAGAAAGGGACGGTCGAGAAGACGGAAGGTCGTAGGCCCTGAGGGGAGTGGGCAGCCCAGCCGCGCTCTACCCTCTCCTGGCGCACACCCCCAGACCAGGTGACTGTTAAACAGGAGCTCTGCCCAACCCCCCAACTCACTGCCTGACCCCAAGGTGAGGCTCCTGAAGGCGCCGTCCCTGGGAGGCTCTGCGGACTCCAGGCCTAGTTCCTTCTGAGGCAACTGTACAAAGGGTCCCAGCGGGAAAGTCTGCGATGACAACATGATCTGATTGCTCCATAAACAGTTTCCTGCAGGCCTGGTCGGCCCAGCTGGCAGCCAAGTTTCTCAAGGACAAGAACCTCACAGGCTTCGGCGGCTTCTGGAGCCTCCAGGAAGGCCTGGCCTAACCTGGGCAAGGGAAGGACACCTGAACAAGGAAGTCCAGTCCTCAGGTAGAGAGGCCTCAGGACTGAGCACAGGGAAGCCCTCCAAGTGGCTGTGACAGTCCCTCCCAAGCCTCAGTTTCCGCATCCTCCATGTCAGGGCTGCTGGGAGGCCTGAGTGAGGTACCAAGAAGGACTGCATTAAAAAATCAGTCAACAGGGCCTCCCCTGGTGGCGCAGGTGGTTGAGCACCGCGCTGGGAAGCTGTCCACAGCCTCTGCAGCGCCAGTTCCATCCCTGCTGGCTGGGGAGGTTCCCACACGGCGCGGCAGACCTCTCCTGTCGCACCCGCTGCTCCCCTCAGCAGCGCATTTCATCAGTCTGCCTGTTCTGTTCCCTGCTCTGTCTCTGGTGAATCCTCTCACCCTCCCGTGGCGCATCTGGCCTGTACCCCAGTTCTTGTACAAATAAATAAATCTTTAAAAAAAAATCAGTCAACATTACAGTAAAGTTGGTCAGAGGTTCATGCATATTTTGTACCAAAATGCTTTCTGAAGTCACGTGCCTTTTCCCCACCTCCTGCCATGCAGGTTCAGCTGCAGGAAAGAGAGGGGAGGACAGAAGGAACAGGAGGAGAGACCGAGAAATTCAGACAAAGGGTCAGCCAGCATTTGCAAGCAGAGCGCCAAGCAGAACTAACAAAGTAAACAATAAAAAAGGCACCCACCATGTCCAGCAACAGATTATTTCTTTGCTCCCCCTCTGAAGCCCCTTCTGGGCATCTGGGAAGTCACAAGAAGTGGTGTGGGCGCTCGAGGCCGCTCAGCTTCAGGGGACCAGGAAGGAAGGTGGAGGGAGGGGAGTCTCAAGCAGAGCCACGGCCCCCTGGGAAGGCGAAGACAGAGGAGACGGGCAAGACAGACAGCACCACTCACACAAGCCGAGTCTAAGCCGTCTGTGGACCAGCCCCAGGGCCCGGCCCTCGAGGTGCACCGGGGGCTGCAGAGGTGGTCCCTCTGTCCACAAGGTCCCCAGGCAGGACCTGGCTCCAACCGCCTACGGACGCCACCAACGTGGGATGACACCCCCTCAAAGACAAGGCATCACCCGTGCTAAGAGCTCAGGCTTGCAAGGAAAGGTGTCTCCGGGACAAAATGGCAGCAGCTGGACCCCAAGGAAGGTAACAGGGGGGCCACTTTACTGCCTGGGTGGGTCCCAAGGCCACCAGGCCAAGAAGCTAAAGAAAAGGAGACCAAGTACAGAACAAGTCCCCACTGCACAGGCTTCCCCATCTGTGAAACAGAGGGGCTGGATGAGAGGCGGCCGACATCCCGTCCTGCCGTCGGAACTTCACAAAGCCTGACGCTCAACTCATCCCGATCCATTCGGGTCAGGCTGTGCGGCGCTGACACCGCCCCAAACATTGTCAGCCATCTCGGGACTTTTTCATTAGGGAATTCACAGACAATTCATGCCCCGTCAAAACACGGGCACTGTGCCCCCCGAGGGTGAAATCGGAACCTGGCAGTGTCCATCCACATGGCCCCGAGACCCCTGAGGCGCCTGCGTGCAGGCCCAACACATGGACAGCAAGGTAGGCCCCGCTCTGGCTGCACCCGGCCTGGCAGCGCAGCCACCAGGGGGCACTGGCCGAAAAGCTATTTAAGGAGAGAAAAAACAAAAACTCTTCTTCATGTTTTCTTTTCCTTCTTAAACTTAAGGGACAAAATAGCTCACGCGTCTTCCCTAATGAGAACACAAAGTGGGCTTCTTGAGGTTCTAGAATGGCCCAGCTGCTTTCTTTCATCTCTGAAGCCAAGAAGGCAACCAGACTTCAAGCCCTTTAGAAAAATTAGCTCCACGCTGATTTCCCCCGAACGACATCACAGCTTGCCCTCAACCCCCGACCCCTTAAAGGCAGGAGAGACCCCCCAAGAGCAAAGTCAATCTGCGGGTCCAGCATGAGGACCTGGCCATGGGGCCTGGCAGGGACTGTACTTCCAGAACCTCCCAACTACCAAGCAAAACATACCAAGCAGATGACAAGTCTCATGCGTTAGCTGCAGACACGGGACGACACAAATAGAAAGATCTTAGTAAAAAGGGTGCAAGGTATCAACTGGGATTTCCCAAGTCCCAGGCGACTGCAGGGGAAGCTCTCCCGTGCCTACGCGGCGCTTCCAGAACTCGTCAAAGAGGCTTCTCCAAACGTCTTCGGTGCCAAAGGCCTTCCCCACAAGTGTGTGTTTCTGCAGAGCTGGTTCCAGGGCCCTTTCTAACCTTCCAGAAAGTCCTCGGACCCATTTTCAGAGCTCTGGCCGGGAGCCTCCTGATGTCCTTGTGCATTCCCGGGCTGCCAGGCGTGCCCTGCAGGCTACGGAAAGCTGGGCTGCTCCTGGGGAAGCCGGCCTGCCGGGGCAGCCCACTCCACCCCAAACCAGGGGATGCAGAACCAGGAGCTGCTTCAGACAAGATGCGCCCGCTGGCTGGAGGGAGAAGGGCAGGGCGGGGCGGGGCGTGCACCGGGCAGAGGGGCAGCCGCCGCAGGACAAGCAGGACAGGCGCAGGGGTGCTCCCCGGGCCGGCCCGGACTGGCCACCGGCTCCGGGGGATACAGAATCCAACTGTTCGGTTCTGCAAGATGTTTGGGGAAGCGACGAGGTGAAAATGCAAGCAGGGCCCATTTCCCAGAACGCAGCCCACAAGTGGCGTCTGCACCCCAGAAGGCTGCCCCCCGGAGTTTGCGAGAGGAGCTCGGGAGCTGCGTTCTCAGCCCGCGGCGGGGGCAGAATCTAGCGAGCAGCCTCCCCGAGGAGGCGCAGCCCCGGCGGGCGGGCGGGCGGGCGCACCTGGCCGCGACCTGAGGATCCGCCCGGGGTCCTGACTGATCTCCCTGAACGCCGGCGGCCCCCGCCGCGCCCGCTGGGGGGCCCGATGGCCCGACCCGCCCGCGCTGACCGGCAGCCGCTCTGCACCGGCCCCGGGGTGCGCGGGGACCCCGGCTCTGCCCCCCCGACCCCGGCCCGGAATCGCGGCGCGGACACGGGCTGGCGGGGGCGCCGCGTCCGCACGGCCGCGCCCTCCGGGGTCGGCGGGGCCCGGGGAGCCCGCGCGGGCGAGCAGGTGGCGGCGGCCGGCGGGCCGGGGGGCCGAGGTGGCGCGGGCCGGGGCCGGGGGCGCCCACGCCCCGCCGCGGCCGGACCCCCGCCCGCCCGCCCGGCCCGCCCGGCCCGGCCCCCGCCCGCGCCCCCCGCCCCGGCCCCCCGGCGCCCCCGGCCCCCCGGCGCCCACCTGCACAGCTCGGCGAAGGCCTGGAAATTGAGCTTCTTGATCTTCTTCTCGCTCAGCCAGTAGCCCACGCGCTTGCCCCGCAGGAAGGTCTGCATCGTCGCGCGGCGGCCGCAGGAAATCGCCCAGAGGCCGAGTGTGGCGGCCGGCGCGCGCCGGGCTGCGGGCACCTCCTCCCGGCGCGGGGACGCGGAACGCTCGGGGCGCGCAGTCCTGGGGGGCGGGCGGGGGCGGGGCGGGCGGGCGGGGCGGGCTCAGCGCGGGCCCGCCGCCCCGCCCAGGCCCCGCCCCGCCCGCCCAGGCCCCGCCCAGGTCCCGCCCCGCTCAGGCCGCCCCGCCCCCAGAGGCCCCGCCCGCCCGAGCCTGGCGCCCCGCCGAAGCCCCGCCCTCCAGAGGCCCCGCCCTCCAAGGCCCCGCCCCCCGAGCCTGGCCGCCCCGCCCCAGGCCCCGCCAGAGGCCCCGCCCCGAGCAGGCCGCCCCACCACGAGGCCCCGCCCCAAGCCCCGAGGCCCCGCCCAGGCCCGCGAGCGAGCGCCCAGCCCCGAGGGGAGGCCGGGGGCCTGCGCCCGCCCGCCCGCCCGCCCGCCGCCGACGGGCCGAGCCGCACGCCCGGCGCCCCCGCGGCCCGCCCAGGCCGGAGCACGCGCCCCGAGAGCACGGACCCGCCCGCCGCCGGGCCCGCGGCCTCGTCCTCGCGCGCCGGGCCCTCGCCCGCTGCCCCGGCCTGCGGAGCGCGCCGCGGCCGCCAGGGGGCAGCACCGCCCGCGCCCCTTAAAGGCGCCGCGCCGCCCCCCCCGCCCCCCGGTTTCGGGGCCTGGGCCGGGCCGGGGAGCTGGAGGCGGGGCCGGGTGCAAGCGGCGCTGGCCAGGGGCCTTCTTCCCGGGCCGGGGAGTCACTGCGCCTTTTCTCCCTGTCCTTTGGAGGGGCCCCCGGAGCTCATCATCAGAAGCACCCGGCACCCCCAGCCGCGGGCGGCGCCCCCACCCCTCGGCAGTTCCGGCGCGGCGGGAGGAGGCGGCCGGCCCCGAGAGCCTCCCGGGAGACGGACCCCGCCCGGGGTGGCACGGAGGGGGGAGGGTGCAAACTCGAGGGGCTTTTCTCAGGCTGAGGTCGCTGACCCCAGCCTACCCGCCGGCCCGGCCCCCCAAGGGGCACAGGGGGGGACTCCAGGCAGCTCGCACCAGGGGATCAACTCCCAGGAGACCCCTTTCCTTGGGGCGCACCCTCATCCTTGATTTGATCCTTGGCCAAACCCCACCTGCCCTCCCCAAAAGGGGGCAGCCGGGCAGTGAGCGCTCTGCCGTCCAGGAGCTCGGGGTTGGGGGGGGGGTAATGAGCACCCCTCCCGGGCCCCCAGGAAAAGTGAACTGGCAGTGGGGTCCCACGTTTCAGGGGAGGCGGTTCAGCTGACTGGATGGGTTGAAAGGGAGGGGGCTGCAGCCCGGGTGAACGCAGGAGGGGGCACGCGAGGCTGAGGGCCTCCCTTCCCTGGAGGAGCTGTCCCTGCGCCCAGAGGGAAGGTGGGGAGGGGGAACCTCACTGTTCCGGGCGACACGCCCTCCTTTACCTCATTCTCCAAGGCCCAGCCCAAGGGCCCTAATCCCAGCTCCCCCTTCTTTCTGCTGGTCTTCCAAGGTTGCAACCAGCTAAGGCCAGTCCTCACTGCCCCTTGAGGAGTGACCGCACACGCCCCACAACTCAGCTGGACCCCGCGCTTTCTGCGTGACCTTGCAGGCCACGTAGCCTCTCGGAGCCTCAGGTCCTCCGTCTTACCTTACAGGGTAAGCCCTGCCTCGTGCGAGCACTTCAAGCTTTAAATCAGTGGCTCTTTACACAGACCATGTGGGGGGGGGCTGGGGGGCAGGGGAGGACGTGGGCAGCGATGTCTCCCACTGCGCTGGGAGGAACCGTCCAGGGCTTCAGGAGGACCTGGCTTGGTAGCGCCTCCCAGCTGGAGCAAGTCCCGTAAATCCGGAGCTGCAGGTAGGGAAAGTCACGCTTGCTCGCCTTAAAGGATTACAGCGAGGATTAGGAGGGAGTGTTAGACCAGTCCCTGGCAGGCCATCGGAACGGGTGCTTTCACTGCCCCATCCAGGGCTTCACTTGACGCCCACTTAGTCCCCGTCTTGCCCCACCCCAGGACTTCAGGAACCCCGCAGCTGCCACAAATTATGGGCATAATGGTCATACGTCCCACAGACTTTCAAAGGCTCTGCCCCCAAAGTTAAGTCACTGATGATTCCAACTTCCAGCCTTACCAGAGAAGTGGCCGCCAGACGAAAGACAATTTGCCCGATGTCACAGAGCAAATAAATGTGACGCTAGCACAGGTCTCCAGGCCCAAGAGGCCCTACCACCACCCCCCATGGTCCTTCTGGAGGTGGGAGGAATGGGAGAGGGACAGGTTCTGAAGACTGGGAGCCCACACACCGATGGTATCAGGAACCCACCTTGGGCAGGTCCAGGCCTCAAGCCTTTTCTCAACTGAGACTGGGAAATTCTACCTTATCTCTGGAGATCCCTTCCACAGGGCCAGATCCAGACTTCAGAGCTGTGTCACCTCACCTTGGGATGGGCCTTTTTGCCTGCCCTACCTGCCTCGTCGGGCAGTCTCAGGTGTGGACTGACCCCAGGGACGGGCATGACCTTGGACCAAATATTTCTCAGATCTTCTCCATCTTCCATTTCTGTCAGTGCCAAAAGCCCATCAACCCTTCCCCACTTGTCTGCCCCCGTCTAGTTCCCTAATAGACCCAGGAGAGACTGGTCAGGTGACTAGAATGAAGGAGAAATGGGCCTCCCTGATGGAGCAAGGGGTTAAGACACAACCTATGAAGCTAACCGCAGCCTCTGCAGCACAAGTTCAATCCCTGGCCAGGGAGCTACCCACACGGTGCGGCAGACCTCTCCTGTCTCCCCGCTGCTCCCCTCAGCAGTGTATCTCAGTCATCCTGCCCGTTCTGTTCCCCACTCTGTCTCTGGTGAATCCTCTGACCGCCCTCGCCCCCCACAACTCTGGCCTGTACCCCAGCTCTTGTATCTCTTGTATGCATAAATAAATAAATCTTTAAAAAAAAAAAGAGAGAGAGAGAGAGAATGAAGGACAGAGAACTTTTGGGATTCTGCAACACTTTAGCCAGGGCAGTCTTCAGGATGGAATTCAGTCCTGCCTGCACAACCTCCCGGTATACCTGTGATGCAGTCAGAACTTGCCCAGAGAGCAACTCGCCCAGCCTCATTTCCCACCACAGTCCTCTAGTGTTGCCCCCAACGTGCTGGCCTCTTGTCCCTGCTCTCCCCAGGGCCTTTAGATAGGCAGTCCCATGTTCTTTTTCCCAGAATGTTCTTCCCCATCTTTGCTTACTAACTCTCCCACCAGCCCTCGGCCCAGGACTCCCTTCCTGGCATCTCAGCCACCCAGCTCCCCGCACCAGCATCGCCACACCTTGCATGGATGGTGGACATGCCTGGCTTTTCCTCAGCTTGGGTACTTGATGAATGATGGTGGACCCCTTCTCTTCATTTGTGACCATTGAGGGCAGGTACAGTGTATTCTGCTCCCCATCGTGTCTCCTAAAACAATAGTAGAAAGTACTGGCTAAGGATCTGATTCCATCTGGAGTCTAGAAGTAGCCAAACCACTTCTAACAAAGCAGTCCAGGCAGAAGTGCTCAATAAAACAGACTGAATAAACAAGTGCAGGAACGTCCCCCAAGTGACCCCTGACCTCTGAGAAGTGAGCGGTTCAGTGAAGGCAGGGAAACTGCAGGACACGGTCCTGCCATCGCCTACCTCTGGCAGAGACTGAACATTAGGATTGAAAAGTGGGCAGTTTAGGGCCTCCCCTGGTGGCGCAGGCAGTTGAGCGCCGTGCTGTGAAGCTGTCTGCAACCTCTGCAGCGCGGGTTTGATTCCCGGCCTGCCGGCAAGGGTCCCACATGGTGCGTAGACCTCTCCTGTCTCGCCCGCCCGCTGCTCCCCTCAGCAGTGTACTTCGGTCCTTCTGCCTGTTCTGTTCCCCGCTCTGTCTCTGGTGAATCCTCTCACCCTCCCGCGCATCTGGCCTGTACCCCGGTTCTTGTATAAATAAATAAATAAATCTTTAAAAAAAAAAGTGGGCGGTTCCCAGAGCTAGAAGTAGGAGGCAGGCCTTGGGAGGAAGGACAATGACCACAGGCAGAAGTGGGCCCTCGGGGAGTCCCTTCAGACCCCAATCTGTCTTCTGGAAGAGAAGGAGGCATTGGGGAGGGAGGACAGAACATACTGATTGAGATTCAGACCCAGGGCTCAGGCAGATGGACTTAAATTCTGGCTGTGACCTTCGGCAAGGTTTTTTTTTTTTTTTTTTTTTTTAAACCGGGGTACTCACCTGTGAAAAATCTTCTAACACAATAGAGATTGATTACTTGGATGTTCTCGGGTGGTATCAGCCCTTAGGAGGGGTACTATGGGTTTTTCCCCTTAATAGTTGGGGTTCCCTGGGTACCTCTCACCTAGGCCCAATGTCAGCTTCTGTTCCCTGCAATTTTGCCCGGTATCATATTGACTGGGGGTGATTGTCTAATCGAGCTCATAAAGAAGTTTTTTTTTAAAGATTTATTTATTTATGATACAATCACTGGAGTACAGGCCAGAGGTGGGGGGGAGGTAAGAGGATTCACCAGAGACAGAGTGGGGAGCAGAACAGGCAGATGGACTGAAATACACTGCTGAGGGGAGCAGTGGGGGAGGCAGGAGAGGTCTGCTGCGCCCTGTGGGTAGCTCCCTGGCCAGGGATGGAACTTGTGCCTCAGTGGCTGGCGATAGCTTGATAGTGCTGAGACTTTAACCTCTGCACCACCAGGGAGGCCCCAGGACACTGGTTTTTTACCAGGATCACTCTGCTTTGTGTGGAGGAGAGGTTGGACAGAGGAGAGAGACAAGCTGGGTACAGTGATCTGGGCGGGGAGTGATGGTGGCCCAGCCCCAGGCAACCAGGACGGTGGTGAGAAGTGGTCTGATGCTGGTTATAAGCTAAAGGAAGATTCGGCGGGATTTGCTGATGGGAGGGATTTTGGGGATTGAGTGTGAGAGAAAAAGTCATGGATGGCTGAGGGTTTTGTTCTGAATAACTGAAAAAATGGAGTTACCAGCAATGGGGGAAGTGGAGGGA